GGTCACCCGAAAGTCCTCGGGGCAGCCGAACCATTGGAGCTGCTCTCCCCCCACCTTCCCCGATTCAGCTACTGCTGAAACTGACCAGCAGCGGCTGAATCGGGGACGCCCAGGGCAGAGCCGGACTATCGGAAGGGGGGGCTATGAGGGGTCTGGGGTGGCATCCCCTCCACCTCCCGCATGGCCCCCCCTTCCGATAGTCCGGCATATCTGATAATCCGGCACCCGCTGGGTCCTAAAGGTGCCAGATTATCGGATGTTTACTGTACTTAGCTTTTTATTTTAAAAAATAGCAAATTACAAGTACCCTTAACAGCATTTAGTAAATCTTGGTAAGCAAACTTGTTTTGAGTAGTTGACTACTTAGTTGTTAGTCGCTGTCTTCTTTCAGAAGCTAATTAAGTGATCATCATTACAGTTATGTTTCTTGGGGCTTTGCAGATAAAGTGGAACCAATTCAGACTTCACTATTTCTATTGCTGCAGAGCAGTTTCTCCAGCAGATAAATGCAAGGTCTTTACTGCTTGAGTTTGGGGGACAGTTTCTCTTTCTCTGAGGTGGCAGCAGTGTTGCGAACAATTTTTGTCATGACCTGTGTCATATGCTGGCTGAAAGCCAAGATGAAAGAACTTGCTCATTTTATTGGCAGAGGTCACGTGAGCCTACTTTAGGAATTATAGACTGGTGGTTTCTGCTGAAAGCCACTACTAGCAATATCATACAGTATTTTGGCAAGACAGCTCTGAACACATGGCTTTAGATCTCCTTGATGCATGTCAGTGTTGATATTAGCTCTGTCTCTGTATTTAAATCTAAAGTGTTGATGTCTTGTGTCTGAACTCCAACAGTAGTAGTAGGAATTGCTCTTTGGTAACCTTCTTCTTACCATCTATGTTGTCACTCCTATATTTAATATGTAAGTGTTGAACCTTAGGTAGGCTGTTGAAGTTTGAGTTGATGTCACCCAACCCAGCCAATGCTGTCAAGACATCTTTGACAAATGTGTTGATAGTAGGAGAGGCAAGGCACATGAGATGGTAACGTTTAGTGGACCAACTTCTGAAAGACCAGCTTTCAAATCACAGAAGTAGAATAATTGGGAGAGGGTTTCCTCTTAAATGAAACTGCAGTTTTTCCAAAATTTCATTTTCAGTTCTCTTTTGCAAATAAAAATCACTGTCAAAGCTTAGAATCTACAAAACAACAAACAAGTGTGCATGCCTAGTGGAAGTAAAATATAGTAAGAAAACACCTTGGTCTTTAGCTGCCAAGCAATCAATTTACACAAATAAACAGGGCTCAACAAATGCACTCGTCCACGGCGAGTAGATTTTTCCAGCTGGCGAGTGCAGGGGCGGACTGGCTGCATCCGATCCGCTGGCTGGCGGAGGAGCAGAGCGCCGCTGAGAAGGGGGAAGTGCAGTGATTTTTCCCACTGGACTGCCTGCATGCAGCTCCAGCGCGAGGAGGCGGGGCGGGATGCCAGGACGCGGGCGTGACCTGGCCCCGCTGATTTTTAAGGGCCGCAGCAGCTCGGCTCTGGCCCTGTGCCCCTGGGAGCTGGCTGCGGCGCGTGGCACAGCCAGGGCCTGCCCCGCTGGCTCCAGTCCTGCCAAGGCCCCAGCCCCCCTTTGTCTCCGCGCCGCCCGTTCCCCACGCCTCCCCTGCACCTCGGATCCCCTGCTCTCCCTCTTCCCTGCGACCCTTTGGCTTTGCGCCGCCCTTACACCCTGCACCCTGTAATTAAGAAATATGCTACTTAAGTGTCTCTTACAAAAGTTCCTGGTTTTGTCAAACTGCATTTTAACAAAAGCAAGTCAGAAAATGAATTTTGAAAAAACCTTATATAAAGTCAGTCAATATTTGGCAAGATGACATAAGAACTGCAAACACTTTCCAATGTGTTATACAATATACTAAACAATAAGGTGCGTTAGGCAGATGTGTCAAACAGCCTGAAGCAGCACAGAATGATATTGCATTATACTGAATTTCCTCAAACTGTTTAACCATTTCAGTTACTCTTAAAAAGAACAGCAATGTTTCAAATTTACATTCTGCAAACATTGTTTCACAGTTTTACTTTCAGTAGTTTAATGTAGAACAATCTGACAAATACTGTAGAAGAGGTAATTGTTGAAAGACATTCTACTCTTTGAGGCATGGTGGGAAGGGCACCAAGCTACCCACTGGACATTTTGTAGACACTAATAAAATATGTATAACTGAAAATGGCAAAATATATTTAAGAGAGTTAGGGAATTTTTAAACACTTATTTGTTTTACAAATTACACTCTGAAAGTTCAATAGCCAAATAACTGAATGCAATAGTAGTTCCCTAGAAATATTTAAATTTTTTGTAAACCCTTAAAAAGAAATCGCAGCATAGGAACAACATAGCACGTTCAATTTTGTGGCCTAATCAACCCCATCAAATCCCTGAGTATTTTCAATAGCTATGAGAAGTTTGTCCCATAAATCTTCAAATGACTCATATGGAGGCAAATCCAAGCGGTTAAAGCTGAAAAAAAAAAAAAAAAAAACACGTAAGTTTTTGTGATCAAAGTTACTTCTTAATGCATGAAAGTCTACTTAAGTTAAAAGAATATTTACCAGGTATGAGCTCGTGGCAGTTTTTCAGGGGTGCCCCACTGTTCAACTGTAAACAACTGTGGTCCATTTGAACCTACAGGAAGAAGTAATGGATTGAGATCCACTCCATTCTATCTCTCAACCTTTTTGAGATACAAGTCTTTTCAGTATATTGCTCTTGCTTTGTGAAAGAATTTCTGAATGAGGGAGTTATACATATGACTCAAAAGGCATTGTGTGTATGTTCCAATGATTGCTTTCTAGGGCAGGAGTCAGGACAGCAGAGGTTGAGAGGGAGTTGGGTGGGGGCAGCAGGTACTGGGGGAGCTGATGGAGCAAGAGGAGGAGATATGGCAGCAGAGGGAAAGGGTAGAGGTTTATAAGATACTTATTAATAACTTGGGTGCCACAGTGGCTTATTAGTAATTACTGTTCTTATTCTTATTAGGAATTTATGCCATTAAAAAATACTTTTTGTGGGGGATGGTGGCGAGTCCCTTTTTTGTCTGGCGAGTAGGATTTTCCATAATTTGTCAACCCCTGCAAATAAATTAAATTAAAAACATTCAGAATACTTTGTCACTAACTGTAGAGGTAGTGGTATTTGATTCATTCCTAAACCTTTTGAATGTTATGCAGCTGGAGAAATAATTTGCCATTGGATAGCTCTGAATGTTATTTTCTTTCCAGCAGAACTTCCTCCAACATCTGCATCTCATTCCACTCAGTCGCATTTATCTCTGGCCACCATACTATCACAGGTTCCAAAGAGAATTGTTTCCTCGCCAGCCTGTGAACTTCTTTCCAGTAACCATTCTTACAGGAAAGAAAAACAAGATGTTCAGACCAGTAGTAAGGTATTCAGCCAATTGTCTGTTACATGCTTCATTGATTGGTTTATAAATTGTGGGTCAGGACCTTGGGGTGAGTTGCAGCCTTGTTTTATTGGGATTGCCAAGGCTGGCATTAGATTTGCTGGGGCCCAGGGCTGAATTCAAAGCTCAGGCTCTGCTGACTGGGGCCAAAGCCCTTTACATTTTGACTTCGTGCCCCCAACTGGGACAGTGAGGTTTGGCCTTTGGCTGGACAGCCGGGCTCTGGCAGGCTGAGGCTTCAGTTCCTCTTAATTTTTGTTGTGGGAAGGGGGTTGTAGTATAAGGAAGTTTTGAGAACTCCTAACATCATCCATTGATACTTCAGTGTCTTTTTAAATATTATCTGGAAACCAAATGTCTCTTTGCTAAGATAGTTTACGTGTAATTTTACACTGGCAGAAGTGTCATGCATAATGTGCCTTTTTGTCTAGCATAGTAAAAAAATTAGAATAGTATTAAACAGGAATCTAGATAATTTCCTTTTATCTACGTCTGAATGTTTTATTGGTTGCTAATTTTAATACAATAATTTTAAGTTACAATTTTTTTCTCATCTTGCTATCTTCAAAAGTTAAAGTTGAAACATGACCTCCCTTAGCAAAGTTTTTCTGTCCAAATCACTGTATCCCAGGCATGCTGCGTTATAATGCAGTAAATGCACTGCACAGCTATTATCTGCTATGCTTTCACTGCTGCTGGGTCTTAAATGATGCTCAAACTCTGCCCATGTGTTCACAATATTGAGTGATTAGGGTATACTTTATTGTACATTTGATCATTTGCATCGTTTTGATTTAAAAAAAATATTTTTACTTGTATTCTGGTACTGTTCATCTGTAAGAAGGTGATTACTCACTCATTGTGATCTTTCAATAGTCACAAACAAGAAATGATGCTAGTGAAACTGAGGCTGAGGCAGCGTCAGAAAAGAAGAAGAAAAAAAAGAAAAAAAAATCTAAATCAAATCCTGACGTGGAAAGACCTCAGAATGAAAGCGTTCTAGTACAGGAACCACCAAGGATTGAGGTACAGTCAAAAAATTTGATAATGTGTGCACGTTCAGGGGTTGGCATGTGAATTGCTAATTTGTAGAATCATGGATTTCGATTTGCGGTGTAGATTGATTCTATGCATTTATTTTACAAGGTAATTTACTCCTAGTCCCAAAATAGAGCATATTACAAAACCCTAACTTAAGTATTTAGGAAAATTGACCCTGTAAGACCACAAAGATTAGAGGAAAAAACAGGATGTGGTAGAACAACACTTGTATCTACCGTATTCAGTCCCACTGAATTCCATGCTTGTACTAGTACGTTCCTAGGATACACGTTTGTAATGTGCATTGTGACTAGAAGAAACAAAAACTTTCAAGGAGTAAGCAAAAGAAAGCAATCTGCTTCTTACTAAGGATGTTAAATATTGATTAATTTACTAGTTAAGTAATCGATGGAATTTCCGACTACTCGATAGGCACTTCCGCATTCCTCCTTTGAAATGCACAGAAGCCCCTGCTGGGGATTTTTGTACGTTTCAAAGCTGGTATGCCATGTGCAGCCTGGGGCCAGTGGGATGGCCCTCTGACTCAGGCTCCACGCGGGTGCTTCTGCTTTGAAAAGCACAAGAGCCCCTCAGAGTCCCGCGCTGACCCCAGGCTCCATGCAGTGCTGCCACTTTGAAACACCATACAGAGCCGGGGTCAGCTGGGGACTCCCCAGCTGACCCCAGGTTCCATGTGGCATTTCAAACAGGCAGTGCAGCATGGAGCCCATACCCCAGGCTCCACATGGCGCTGTCGCTTTGAAGTACCCCCTCTTCCTTGCCCCCCCCTTTTTGCTGCCTCTATCTGATAGAGGCAACAAGTGGGTGGGGTAAGCAACTAGTCGACTCGACAATAAGCATTTGGGTATTGGATAATTGACTAGTCCTTAACATCCTTACTACTGCGTTACACTGTACAGCTCAAAGTTTGTCATGTGTTTCAGATTAAATATTATTTTGAGGACATGTGCAGGGCCTTAGAATATCCTGTTTTTTTAAAAAATTGTCTAGATTGTAAATTGGTTTCCCTTTTTCTTATTAACTTTAACTCCTTCACTAATCCTACTTATAACCGAGTGGTGGGCAACCTGCTGCCCAAGGGCCACATGCAGCCCATTGAGATTTTTGCGTGGTCCAGGACACATTTTGTTTATCATTGCCCACATGCAGGGTTGCCAGATTCTACTGGTTTTCGTTTGCACAACTTTTTTCCTACCACTATTACAGAAGTGACACACTTGAAGCAAGGGCCTGTGATGTCAGGTGCAGGCTGATTGCACAACACTGAGAGAGCAGTGTGCTCCCTCGGTATACAATCAAAGTGCTGCTACGATTCAGTTGGCATACCCTGCAAATTTTAGGTATACAAGTGCAGTTAGCAAAACTACCCTATTGTGGGAGACCATCTTGGTTATGACTGTCTTGTGGCCCACGGAGTGGTCTAGGTTGCCCCTCACTGATATAACTCAGTGGGGTCTTCAGATTTGTGTAACTCCTGCTACAAGTACTCCTGTTTTATATAAATAGTAAATACGTCAAATAGAGCTACTTCAAATATATGAGTAACTTGAGCAATTTAAGGTTACTGTGGGCTCATTAATGTAAACTTGTGTTTGTCTGTTTCCAGAAAATGATTAATTCTACTCAGCATTATTTTTAATCCAGAACAGGAAGTTAGAGTAATCTGTTTTGTCATGTAGACATTACATTGCACAACAAAACTGAGAGATGAATTTTCATAGTTAACATTCAGTTTATCATTACTTAGTGTAAGTTGCATTTTAAAGTACATTGTGATTGAAAACTTTTTTAACATATTCAAAAATTCCACTATGTATACGTTGTGGTGCTAATTGGCTGAGCAAAGAAGTCTTTCATTCAACTCCGTGATGTCAATCTGTTCATACCAGATATTTGAAAACCAAATCTGGTCAGTTCCAATACTTGATGTTCTAGGCATCAGTGGGTGAAAATTGAAAAAAACATGAAGGGGGAAATAGAAGAGCCATAAGGCTCCTTAAATCTTGCAGCAGCTTCAACTACCTTTTTAGATAGAAGAACTAGTTGATGGCAGGCATTAATGCTTTCCAGTATAACTATATCCCCCATCTCAGCTCTACTCATTAATACCAGAGAAGTTTAGTAAAATTGTTGACATTCTAAATCACTTGCCTCCCAGATGGGGAGAGGGGAAATAGGAATTGGGAGAGAGGGCTTAGGGAAAAATGAGTAAGAAGTCCT